TCCAACGTGGAATGAGTTAGACTTGTTCTTGACAGAGCGTCATCGCACTCTGGAGGCTATCGATGACATCAGGCCTAGCAGTTCAGGTCAGTTTCCGCCAAGGTCGACACCTGCGAGCGCCCCAGCGCGTAGGCTTAATTCCTACGAGGCCAGAGTGACTCCAGCCCCAAGAGGGTGCGATCTCTGCTCCAGAGAGAATCATCCTGTTCGCTTATGCCCGCGCTTCCTTGAGATGGATGTAAATGGTCGCTCCGACTACATTAAGAAAAAGCAGCTTTGCCTGAACTGTTTTGCACGAGGGCACCTGCAACGGGATTGCACTAGCGCCCATAGCTGCTTCACGGGCCACAGCCGTCATCACACCCTCCTGCACCGCGGTAATCCATTCGCGGTCGCTCCAAGTCCGTCTGCGCCATTCAGGTCTCGACCCGCTCCTACTACAAGAGGCACGAGCCCCACAGAGGATCACTCTGATGTGCAAGTGTGCTTCGCTTCCGGCTCAAGAGCCGTCTTACTGGGCACAGCCCTTATTAACATTTGCCATTTAGGGTGCAATTTCCAGGCGCGAGCCCTAATCGATTCTGGTTCCGAGGCAACCTTTATTACGGAGAGACTTTTCAACCTCGTCAAACTTCCCTTCAAGACTATCCAGGCCCAAGTCTCTGGTCTTAATCAAACCGTTGCCGCCCAGTCCACGAAACTCTGTAATTTTTCTATTCGATCGCCTTCCAGACCCGGGCTGCATTTAGAAACTTCAGCTTACGTTCTTCCGCAGCTGGCCGGGAATCTGCCTTCGTATCCAGTCCCTCGAGATCTTCTTAAGGGAATTCCTGACATCCCCCTTGCAGATCCCAAGTTCTTCGAGAGCTCCCAAATCGATGTCTTGATAGGAGCCGACATTCTTCCGTCCATCCTCCTCGGCAACGCCAGGGCTAACATTTGCGGTTCACTTCTCGGCCAGGAAACCATTTTTGGATGGGTGTTGACAGGTCCCATATCTCCAGCGGCCCCCCGCAATTTGTCCAGCTTCTCCACTCGAGTTACCTGCGGACTCGACGACTCGTTGGATCATCTCCTTACCAAATTCTGGGAGGTGGAGGAAGTGCCCACACAGATAGTCCCCGAGTCCGATTCCGTCTGCGAACACAATTTTGTCCAGACTACAAGAAGGGACAATCAAGGCAAATACGTTGTGATGCTCCCCTTGCGCGAACCCGAGCATAATGGTTCCGAGCTCGCATCTTCACGATCCTTTGCTCTGGCTCAATTTCTGCGTAACGAGCAGCGCCTAAAAAGAGATCCGCCCCTGAAAGCCCGGTATGACTCCGTAATCCAAGAATACCTCGACTTAGGTCACATGGCCGAGGTCCCTTTGACGAGCAGTTCCGCCACGTACTACCTTCCACATCACGCCGTTCTTAAACCCGAGAGCACAACCACTAAAGTGCGGGTGGTTTTCAACGCCTCTAGCCCTTCCGCAAACGGGACCAGTCTGAATGACATACTTTACGCGGGCCCGGTCTTACAATCCGACCTCACGATTCAAATCCTGAAGTGGCGATACTTTAGGTTCGTCTTCAACGCCGACATCGAGAAGATGTATCGGCAAATTTGGGTAGACCCCCAGCATACTCCCTTGCAGCGTATTCTATTCCGCAACTCCAATGGGGAAATCCGCGACTACGAGTTGAAGACAGTCACCTTCGGGGTCAATTGAGCCCCGTTCCTAGCGATCCGTGTCCTGCAACAGCTCGCCGACGACGAAGAGTCGAGGTATCCGCAGGCGAGTCGGATTATCCGACAGTTCATGTACGTCGACGACGTACTCGCGGGGGCAGACTCCAAACCCGAAGCGCAAGCGGCTATCCGCGAGCTCCAGGGGGCCCTGGATTCAGCAGGATTCCCCCTTTAGAAAATGGACATCCAATAGCAAGGCGATTTTGGCCAACATCCAGAGTGACCATCTCCTTCGCGCGGACTTCCTTGAAATCGACGCAGAGAGCACGGCTAAAACTCTCGGAGTGCGGTGGAAGGCGACGTCTGACGAGTTTTTCTTCATTCCGCCCGAACTGACCCTGGGTTCAACGTTCACAAAGCGTCAAGTCCTATCCCAAATCGCCAAACTATTTGATCCAGCGGGTTGGCTCGCCCCCTTCATAGTCCGGGCAAAGATGTTCATGCAGGACATTTGGCTCCAAAATCTAGGATGGGACGATGCCCTCCCTCGAGATTTTTGCCAAAGATGGGTTGACTTCCTGGAAAATTACTCCGCTCTTGATCAGATCCACATTCCCCGATGGGTCGCCTTCCGACCACATTTGAAAATTGAGCATCATGGGTTCTGCGACGCCTCGCAGAAGGCGTACGGCGCAGCCATCTACGTCCGAGTTGAGGCTGGGTCCGCGGTAATGGTGAACTTGCTCACGGCAAAGACGCGGGTTGCCCCAGTAAAAACGGTGTCGCTCCCGCGGCTCGAGTTGTGCGGAGCCTTGTTATTGTCAGAAATGGCCAACGCCGTTCTTCCGAAGATGCCCGGGCAGGCGTCCGCCCTGCACTGTTGGACGGACTCTACGATTGTTCTCGCCTGGTTGCATAAGCCAGCGTGCCACTGGACAACGTTCGTGGCAAATCGTGTGACCAAGATCACCCAGCTCACCGAGGTGGAAAAATGGGCACACGTTCGCTCCGAGCATAACCCGGCAGATCTCGCTAGCCGGGGGTGGCGCTTCAAGACCTTGCGGACAGCCAGCTGTGGTGGCATGGTCCTGCCTGGCTGCAGTGGCCTCGCTGCGAGTGGCCCATTCAAGGCTATGAACCCCCTGTGACTGAACTCGAGAAGCGAGCAGTCAAGGTCCATGTTGCGAAGGTACCCCCTGAAGACATTCTGGAGCGTTTTTCCACACTCGACAAGGCGTTGCGAGTCCTCGCTTACGCTCATCGGTTCATCCAGTGTTCGCGAAAGCTCATGTCCCCGTTTGAGGATCCCTTGACAGCTCCTGAAATTGCGTCGGCCGAGCGGCTCCTGATTTCCGTCACGCAACGCAGGCACTTTGCCCTTGAGATTGGCTGCTTAAGCCAAAAACGGCCAGTGCCAGCATCCAGCCTTGTCCAAAACCTGAACCCGTTCATTGATTCCCAAGGGCTCATGAGAGCATGCGGCCGAGTCACGGCCTCCGAACTTCTCCAGTATGATGAACGGCACCCTGTCATCCTTCCATACGACTGCCATCTGTCTCGACTCCTCGTCCATTTACGGCATCGCATAACGCTGCACGGTGGCAATCAGCTAATGATCCGTCTGATCCGTTCCAAGTTCTGGATCCCGAGGGTGAGGAATTTGGTCAAGTCCGTCATATATTCATGCAAGGTCTGCATCATCCACAAAAAGAGGTTGCAAACGCAATTGATGGGAGACTTACCCAAAGAACGAACGTCCTTCTCGCGCCCTTTCACTTATACCGGTGTGGACTATGCCGGTCCCTTCGACATCAAAAACTACACGGGACGAGCCTGTCTCATTACGAAAGGGTATGTGCTGGTGTTCGTGTGCTTCGCCACTAAGGCCATCCATTTAGAGCCTACTTCCGACCTCACGACTGAGAAGTTTCTCGCCGCCTTCGCCCGTTTCGTGTCCCGCAGAGGATGCCCCCGTCAAGTTCAGTCGGACAATGGGAAGACCTTTGTGGGTGCGGCTGCCCTACTCTCCCGCGAGTTTCTCCAAGCTCTCAAGGATGCTGTGACAGGTGCCTATAGTCACCAGCAGCTGCTCTGGCAATTCATTCCTCCGGGAGCACCCCACATGGGAGGCTTGTGGGAAGCAGGTGTTAAGAGCTTCAAGACCCTGTTCTACAAGTCCACGGCGACGCGGAAATATACGTTCGAAGAGCTGTCCACGCTTCTAGCTAGGATCGAAGCATGCCTGAATTCGCGCCCGCTCGCGCCAATGTCCGAAGACCCCACTGACCTGCTGGCACTTACGCCTGGGCACTTTCTTGTTGGAGGGCCCCTCCTCGCCATGGTCGAACCCGAGATAAAGGGGGACACCACATCTATTATAAACCGCTGGCAGCACCTGAAGGCTCTTCATCAACAATTTCGTCTGCGATGGAAGGAGGAGTACCTCAAGGAACTCCATAAGCGGAATAAGTGGCGAACCCCCACAAGAAATCTCCGTGCCGGGGACATGGTGGTAGTCAAGGAAGACAACCTTCCGTCCAATGAGTGGCGATTAGGCAGAATTGACGCGGTGTTTCCGGGAGCCGATGGCCATGTTCGTGTGGTCGACATCCGCACTGCACGGGGAGTCATTAAGCGTCCCATAGCGAAGGTCGTCCTTCTTCCAACGGAAGAGTCCGCCGGCCCGCAATAACCAGTCGACCCTTCACTCCGGTGATCCAAATTTTTCATTTTGTCCTATTCCGCCAATCAGATCTCACACGATGTCTCCACGTCCGCGCAGCGCCATCGCATTGGAGCTCAGACGAACTCGAGGTATGCAATCCTACCGTTGCCGAGTCTGTAGCGGGATCCATCCACTTTGGAAGTGTCGTCGGTTCCTCCGTCTGAGTGCCGAGAAGAGGCTCCGGGCTGTCCTTGCCAACCGGTACTGCCACCGCTGCTTGGCCCACGAGCACTCCGACGGAGCGTGTCGGCGAGGTGATCGCTGCAAAACTTGCGGCCAGGATCACCACACTCTCCTTCATCTCTCGGAACCACCGATGGCATCACGGCAGTCCCGCCCGGCAGCACGCCGGTCGCAGAGATCCGCTGCCACTCCGCAACACTCCTCAGCCGCTCCTCGGCCCTCGTCCGCCACTCCACGGCATTCTACAGCCACTCCTCGGCCCTCGTCCGCCACTCCACGGCATTCCTCAGCCGCTCCTCGGCACTCGTTCGCCACTCCACGGCACTCATCTGACACTCCGCGGCAATTTTCTGCTACTCGTCGGGGTGCCACGCAGCTTGCGGTCACAGCTCCGTCCCTAACGTCCCTTCTACAGCGGCACAGCGTCAACCTCCTACCGACGGCTTTGGTGCGTTTAGAGACCGGGAGTCGGGTCTTCGACACTGCGGCGCTTATTGACCCGTGCACGCCTATGAGCTGCATCGACGCTTCGCTAGCGTCGAGTTTCCGCTTGCCGACCACCAACGTGGGAGGCGAACAGATCTGTTCGGCAACCGTGGGGTCAAGAATCGACAGCGCTGTCCGGCTAGACGCAATTTTCAAAATAGAGCCTCACGTGCGCATCCGCACTCCAATCCGGGAGCTGAGCGACGCTGTAAGGACCCACTTCCGGGACATTACGCTGGCTGATGAGCGGTTCTATCTCCCCGCGACAATCTCCATCATCCTGGGCGCGGATATGTATCCGAACGTGATGCGGCCGGGATTCCTGAAACTTCAAGATGGACTGCCAGTAGCCCAGAGCACCGTGTTTGGGTGGGTCGTGTCCGGAGCCTGCCACCAGCCGTGAAAAGAGCAACCAGGCTATGTTGCAACCCGAGTAGTTGCAAGGGGGGGCGGAATGTTTAGGCCAGTGGCCCACTGCTCTCCGAGCTTTCGCTCTCGCCCCTCTTGCGCTCCCTCGCTCGCCTCTCGCAACGTCCGCGCTCCAGAGTGCGAACTTCGGGCTTCGCATCCGAACTCCTCGGACGGCCGCTGCCGATCTCCCGCTCTCGCTTCAACGGAGTCAAGCGGGCGGGAGCGCGGTTTTAGTTTTAAGTTTTAATTAGTCTCTTGTATGCAGCTGAACTAAATACATTGAATTACCCCACGACGCCCCCGACTTCATCATTTTTTTCGACTTCCTCTGCGTTTGCGCCGTGGGAACTATTTCTGCCAGCCAATCCCTTTTTGTGGAAGGATCGCCCCCCTACAACAGGCAGCTATAGGATATAGTCGGCCGATCCTTATGAAATTTGGTAGGTCGGATTGATTGGCCAAATATAAAACCCATAGAAAGTCCCAACTTCCTAACTTTACAAACACGAAAGTTATGGCATTTCCGATCAAGCAGTTATATGGCAGCTATAGGATATAGTCGGCCGATCCCGGCCGTTCCGACTTATATACTGCGTGCAAAGGGAAGAAGGGTGTGTGCAAAGTTTTAATTCGATAGCTTTAAAACTGAGAGACTAGTTTGCGTAGAAACAGACAGACGGACAGACAGACGGACAGACAGACGGGCAGACAGACGGACAGACAGACGGACAGACAGACGGACAGACAGACGGACAGACGGACAGACGGACATGCCTATATCAACTCAGGAGGTGATCCTGATCAAGAATATATATACTTTATATGGTCGGAGATGTCTCCTTCACTGCGTTGCACACTTTTGACCAAAATTATAATACCCTCTGCAAGGGTATAAAAATGGATCGGCGACAGATTCAAAATAATATTTAATAAATCTATTTCTCAAAAGTTGGCATTACCATTAAGGAAAAGTTCGAGGGGGTTGAATTTTATTGATTGATTTTATTTATGATGATAACTATGATAGTCATATTTTATGACATATTCTATGACTAAGTACAAATTTTCTTATATGTACCAGTGCTCAATAACAATTCTAAATTAGGTTTAAAATTAAATCTGAAAAACACACCAAAGATCCTTATGAAATTTGGTATGTCTGATAGATTGACCAAATAAAAAACCAATACAAAATCCCAATTTCCTAACTTTAAAAACACCAAAGTTATGGCATTTCTGATCGTTCAGTTATATCGCAGCTATAGGATATAGTCGACCGATCCATATGAAATTGGGAACGTCGGATTGATTGGCCAAAAATACAACCCATAGAAAATCCCAACTTCCTAACTTTACAAACACCAAAGTTATGGCATTTCGGATTAATCAGTTATATGGCAGCTATAGGATATAGTCGGCCGATCCTTATGAAATTTGGTAGGTCGGATTGATTGGCCAAATATAAAACCCATAGAAAGTCTCAACTTCCTAACTTTACAAACACGAAAGTTATGGCATTTCCGATCAATCAGTTATATGGCAGCTATAGGATATAGTCGGCCGATCCCGGCCGTTCCGACTTATATACTGCGTGCAAAGGGAAGAAGGGTGTGTGCAAAGTTTTAATTCGATAGCTTTAAAACTGAGAGACTAGTTTGCGTAGAAACAGACAGACGGACAGACAGACGGACAGACAGACGGGCAGACAGACGGACAGACAGACGGACAGACAGACGGACAGACAGACGGACAGACAGACGGACAGACAGACGGACAGACGGACATGGCTATATCAACTCAGGAGGTGATCCTGATCAAGAATATATATACTTTTTATGGTCGGAGATGTCTCCTTCACTGCGTTGCACACTTTTGACCAAAATTATAATACCCTCTGCAAGGGTATAAAAATGGATCGGCGACAGATTCAAAATAATATTTAATAAATCTATTTCTCAAAAGTTGGCATTACCATTAAGGAAAAGTTCGAGGGGGTTGAATTTTATTGATTGATTTTATTTATGATGATAACTATGATAGTCATATTCTATGACATATTCTATGACTAAGTACAAATTTTCTTATATGTACCAGTGCTCAATAACAATTCTAAATTAGGTTTAAAATTAAATCTGAAAAACACACCAAAGATCCTTATGAAATTTGGTATGTCTGATAGATTGACCAAATAAAAAACCAATACAAAATCCCAATTTCCTAACTTTAAAAACACCAATGTTATGGCATTTCCGATCGTTCAGTTAAATGGCAGCTATAGAATATAGTCGGCCGATCCTTATGAAATTTGGTAGGTCAGATTGATTGGCCAAATATAGAACCCATCAAAAATCCCTACTTCCTAACTTTAAAAACACCAAAGTTATGGCATTTCTGATCGTTCAGTTATATCGCAGCTATAGGATATAGTCGACCGATCCATATGAAATTGGGAACGTCGGATTGATTAGCCAAAAATACAACCCATAGAAAATCCCAACTTCCTAACTTTACAAACACCAAAGTTATGGCATTTCGGATTAATCAGTTATATGGCAGCTATAGGATATAGTCGGCCGATCCTTATGAAATTTGGTAGGTCGGATTGATTGGCCAAATATAAAACCCATAGAAAGTCCCAACTTCCTAACTTTACAAACACGAAAGTTATGGCATTTCCGATCAATCAGTTATATGGCAGCTATAGGATATAGTCGGCCGATCCCGGCCGTTCCGACTTATATACTGCTTGCAAAGGAAAGAAGGGTGTGTGCAAAGTTTCAATTCGATAGCTTTAAAACTGAGAGACTAGTTTGCGTAGAAACAGACAGACGGACAGACAGACGGACAGACGGACAGACAGACGGACAGACGGACATGGCTATATCAACTCAGGAGGTGATCCTGATCAAGAATATATATACTTTATATGGTCGGAGATGTCTCCTTCACTGCGTTGCACACCTTTGACCAAAATTATAATACCCTCTGCAAGGGTATAAAAATGGATCGGCGACAGATTCAAAATAATATTTAATAAATCTATTTCTCAAAAGTTGGCATTACCATTAAGGAAAAGTTCGAGGGGGTTGAATTTTATTGATTGATTTTATTTATGATGATAACTATGATAGTCATATTCTATGACATATTCTATGACTAAGTACAAATTTTCTTATATGTACCAGTGCTCAATAACAATTCTAAATTAGGTTTAAAATTAAATCTGAAAAACACACCAAAGATCCTTATGAAATTTGGTATGTCTGATAGATTGACCAAATAAAAAACCAATACAAAATCTCAATTTCCTAACTTTAAAATCACCAATGTTTTGGCATTTCCGATCGTTTAGTTAATTTATTAGTGGGTGGAAACAAAAACAATGCAATGTTGTGATATTTTTTTAAATTTTCTAAAACTATTGAATCTAAGTAATCTAAAAGCGAAAGTTTGCATTTTTCAACTATTTTTATATCATTGTCATTTGGTGTGGATATTTTTTTTAAGTTATTAATATGTGGAATGGTCACGTGCAATGTTGGATAATTGCTACCCTCCAGCTTTTTGGAGCAACTTTCAAAAGGAGCAAGAAGGTTCACCACTCCGCTAATATTGATTAAATTTATATCCGAAATTCTTGATATTTCATTTTTTTCCACCAAAATCTGCGAAATTTCCATCCAATTTAACTCAACCGACTTTAAGAGGTTAAATATAGTATTCCAACGAGTTGGACAGTAGCTTTTAAGGGTGCTTGTTAAGTTCCAGTTTTGTCCAGATTTTTTAAAATACTTAACAAGCTTGCTGCAGCGATTAACCAGATCCAGCAATTCTGGTACTTCTTTCACAACTTTGCCAATCACATTGTGGATCAAGTGATTTGCACAGTGTATTGCGCTCAGTCCGTTGAATGCTGCTTTCATATCATCATCATTGTTGACTATCAAAGTGAACGGTCGTGTTTTTTTCTGCGCTTCGAATTTTGTATTTTGTTTTCGTTTATTCCCATCGGTGGGTTTTATAAAAACAACATTAAATTTTCTTTCGGTTATTTAAACATAAATTTAAACTCCGTTCGCTTCGCGAGTGCACTTTGTATTGATACTAATAAATTGTTTTAGTTTTTCGTAATTCTTATCTGTGTTTTCTATCCTATTTATATCCACGCTGTTTCTCTTTTGTGCATGCACTTTAACTTATTTACGCTCCCGCTCTCTTGCTCTCTTTGCTTTTGAAAGTTCTAAGCGTGCAGTTTCTGCGCTCTTGCGGTACTTATAACTGCTCGCTTATAAATTTCAATTTCGCTTTCTTGGTACAGTGGTAAATAAATAAAATGAATAATAAAAATTTAGTCTGCTTCTGCAAAAAATGCAGCCTCGTAATCAGGGCTGACCAGTCTAATATGACTTGCTGGCTGTGTGAAAATATGGTGCACACCAAGTGCGCCGGTTTTACTGGCCGGACAAGTGATGACCTTTCAAAGGGGCCCAATTTGCAGTTTTGTTGTGACGCTTGTGTCGAGGTTGCGAACGAGATGAAATCGTTCATGCGCCAAACTAAAGGCGGCCTGATGGGACTGATTAGCTGTTTCGGAGTGGCTAGAGATAGTTTTCGCCGAGCTGATGATCTCCTATCTGCGCTGGACTCGCAGTTTAATAGTCGTAAGCTATTAGAAGAGTCCCCTAAGCGCAAAAAGGCCGCTGGTGGTAAGGAGCAAAAGGGGAACACCCCGCACCGAAATCAAAAGAACAACAGAGCATTCCGGCGGATCAGCAGCTGATTTCAGCAAACCCTCAAATGTTGCTAAGATCAGCAGCTAAAAAAGATTCGGTATCCGAACAATCCGTTACAGAATGCATGCAACCAGGGACTTCTAAGAATTCCGATTTGTCCGTAGTGGTTTCACAATTAGTGGATCCACCTATCTCTCAGAATGTAGTATCACCACCACAAGGGACTACTGAGTCCGGACAACCGGCTCAAGTTGGTTTT